AGCTGAGCTCAGACCCTGCAGCTGAGCAGTTGCTCTTAACTTATGACCTCAGTGCCAAGCAATGATGGCGAGGTTACTGCCTGAAGGCTGTTGGTAATGCCAAGTGGAGTGGATGAAGAGAAAACCCTGGCGACCAGGTGAAGAGCACAGGTGCATTGTGGGAGCCCGGGAGAGAGCTGGGGCCCCTGGTCACTGTGCAATCACAGCGCACACTCAGAGCAAGGCGTGTCTCCATCTCCGACCCGCACGGTTCGTCCCTGGGGTTAAAGTGTGTGCACACCGTTGGGAAGGCAGCAGCTGGACCTTTTCAGGATCCCTTTCTGCAGGAATGAGACTATCCTCCAGCATCCTGCTGCTAAGATCCCACGTGCTGTTCTGGCTCAGAGTCGTGCCTCAGTCCTGCCCCTGCGTTTTTGCCCGCCTCTAACCAGGGACTTTCCCTTAGGCGGGTGGGTTTGCACTCACCTGCACCGACCAGCCAGTGGATAGTCCTGTGCCGATCCTCATCGCTGCAGCTGGAGGCCTCTTTAAGAAATTATCTGACTCATTTGGGTCAAATAGTAGTTTCCAAGGAGACTTAGAAGAGAGGAAGTGTGATATTAACCTAACCTAGATACCAAATATTTTTTTTTCTTCTGAAATTTCTTGACAGCTGTTGCATAACCTCTTTCAATGGCATTTAGAACTCTGTGCCCCAGAAGGCAGGGTGGACACTATGGACTGTAAACCCAAATGACTACTGTTTAAAATAGTTGTTCAGATAGGCCCCGCATCCATCCAAAAATTGGAAGTGGGATATGCATTTTTGCGTTGATATGTAACCGTATGGTAAAGGATGTGCTGTTTCTCCGAACCCATGATTATTTCACTAGTGTGGGGATTAGGCAAGCTTTTCTGCCATTGATGCAAGCCCTCAAGAATGTCCCAGTTTGTTTATATAGGCTTCGGACATGTCGGCATTCCTGCAGCATTATCTGCCTGGGACCAGGCTAGCTAGAAGGAGGCAGGAAGAGAGATCTGGTAAGGTTTCCTGTTATGTTTAGCACGATTAACTCTTTGTGGATTAAGGGCTTCCTTGTTTTGTTGTCTGTGCTCTTCAGTGAAGAAGGAAAGGGGTCTGGAGAAGAAGGAAACCAAATTTTGCTGTATTGCTGGAAATCGAATAATTAGCCCTACATGTAGGAGGTGGAGACAGACCGTCAATGGCTTATTAACTAGAATGATAAACAGCCCTGCAAGGCATGGGTGGTTGAAATTCACTTAGAGAGAATCCTCAAACTCATCAAGTCTTCATCAAAGTTATAAAAATGGAATTGAAGTAGACTGTTTGGTTTTTGAGTTCTAATTTTTTTTTTTTTACACTTTCTGGTGAAGGTAGTTGTGGGATAACGAAAATTGACTTTGGTTAACAGATAGCAAAGATAGAGAAAAATACATGGTAGGTGTCTGGTCAAATATAAAATGGAGAGTCAGCCCTGAATGATGGCATTGGCTATTTTGCAAGAATGATCAGTGGGTGGATAAAAAACATTGTATGAACATTTATTCCATCAGTTTCATAGTCAAACATTTGCCCTTTTATTGTGTTTTTAATGGCTGGAGGTATGTGAAAAAAATGAGTGGTGGGTAAAAGGGAATAGCCCCATGCCATAAAAGGAAATCATGTGAAAATGGAAGGGCTAGATATGGTGTGCTCTCCCCTCCCCCCATTTCCTCTGATTTATATAGCTACAATCCAGAGATGTTAGAATTGGCCAAACAGAATATAAATAGGTGTCCTTTCTATAAGAATGGAAACTAGCAAAAGGCAAAATAGGGATTCAGTGTCCTTGTCTTTGCAACTGAAATGCTGGTAAGGGGAAGTGGAAAGGAGAGGAAGACAGGGCAGAGGATCTGTGTGAAGGGTTGTGAACCAGAGGATAACGCCTCTGGAGCTATTTCATCAACGTAATTAAATCTTCCACAAAGGACTAGTGATTTTGCTAAATAGTTCTCCTGGAGTACATTTTTTATTAGGTTAGAATGATGCACAAAATGGATGGGCTTTTGTGTGGGGGAGGTAGGAGGGGGGACCCGAGGTTTTTGACTTGACCAGCGGTGTGGATGGAGGTGCCGTTCGCTGTGCTGAGGAACATGGGCAAGTGTGGGTTTGGGGGCAAGATGAAGTGTTTGATTTTAGACTCAGTTAGAAGAGCACCTGGAGACATCTCGTAGGCAGTCGGATGGATGGGTCTGATGCTCAGGTGAAGGATCGGGTTGGAAGTAGAGATTTGTGAGTCATCATCATCAGGTGGATGGCAAGTGAAACAGAGGAAAAGCTGTGATTTTCCAGGGAGACCACGTAGAGAAAAAGGAGAAGAGGAAAGATTGGCCAGCACTCCGTAACAGGAAGTCAGAGGCGGCCCGAGCTGTAAGAGAACAATAGATTTCTTTGGCTATATTGAATCCAGGGCAGAAAGCATTCCTCACTTGAAATTGAGAGATGATGGGCCTGACTGGCATGGCTCTGTGGTAGATCATCAACTGATGAACCAGGAGGTCACGGTTCGATTCCAGTCAGGGCACATGCCCAGGTTGCAGGCTCAGTCTCTAGTAGGGGGCGTGCAGGAGGCAGCCAATCAATGATTCTCATCATTGATGATTCTCTCTCTCTCTCCCCCTCTCCCTCTCTCAAATCAATAAAAATATATATATATATATTTTAAAAAAGGAGAGATGGTCTGTCTTCTGTAATCTTGGAGCATCAGAATCAAACCAGAGGCTAAAAGGGAAATTAATAGAAAGCAGAACATGCTTGGACAATGGCTGGGGAGGAGGTGCTGAGAAGCAAATGAGGAACTGAGGAGCCAGAGAGGAGCAATTGCTGTGAGCTGCTTTTTCTCCCCTTGGGGCTGAGAGGGTGCTGGGGGAGTATCTTGATTCCCCCAACACATGCCTCAGTGTCAGGAGACGGAAAGACCAGGCCGAGGACTGACAGGCATCATGGCCCTGACTGGGTATGAACTCAGAGGCAGAGCGGTTGCCATGGAACCAAGTGAGGGTAAAGTTCTCTTGTTTTTTTTCCCCCTTGTCTTTTAAAAATGTCAGGCATGCCATTTCTTTTTCTTTTCTTTTTTTAATATATTTTATTTTTTACAGAGAGGAAGGAGAGGGATAGAGAGTTAGAAACATCGATGAGAGAGAAACATCGATCAGCTGCCTCCTGCACACCTCCTACTGGGGATGTGCCCGAAACCAAGGTACATGCCCTTGACAAGAATCGAACCTGGGACCTCTTGGTTCGCAGGCCGACACTCTATCCACTGAGCCAAACCGGTTAGGGCAGGCATGCTATTTCTTATTTGTTGTTTCTTATATGACAGTGAAACAGTTATATCTTACTTTTATGTGCTAGTCCTTTACAGATATTAGCTCACTCGTTTACCACAATAGCTCTCTGATATAGATACCATTTTTGTCCTTGATTTATCTATGGGGAAACTAAGAGACAGGGAGCTTTAGTAACTTGCCCAAAGTCACACAGCTAGTAAGTTGTAGAGTAGACTGTGGTCTGAGGTGGTCTAGCTTGAATCTGTGCTTCCTACCACCATCCTATATAACTATCCTAGAATAAAGATGAGGATTACTATTGTTATATAATGCCTGCCTATATGTTAAATTGAAAAACATAGAAGACTTATCACTTGCTCATTCTTTTCATTGGAATTTTGCTTGCCATGATTGAGAACTTTATTCTTATTGCTGAGGCACATTCCACTTTTTTTTTTTTTTTTTTTAACCTCTAGAGACTTGTCTGCTTAAAATGAACCAAGGGTTTGTGATAAGTTTCCAGGGGAAAATGTCATCAAAAAGCTTTTCTGACAGTTTTGGTTTGAGTCATAATTTTTTTTGGTTTCTCTGTTTTATTTTTACTTTGGCTTTTTGTTTGTTTGTTTTTCACTTAAGGTGTCTGCTGTCATCTTCATTTTAAAAGATTTGTAGTTCCCTTTCAGGGATTTCAGTTAATTTATAGTCCTGGGGCTTAGTGTTGGAAGGTTTTTATATTTCTTAAAGTTTAAATCATTCCTTAGCACCGTAGTAAGTTGGGGAGAATCAACCTGTTGTATTCCCAATAGGCCGGTCTCACTGCTGCTGACTAACCTCTCCTGAGCAGCTAGTCCCCTGAGGCCCAGGGCAGTTCATGGCTTATTCACAGAGACCTGAGTACCACCTGATATGCTTTTAATGATTGTGTTTACCGTCAGTTCATCAAATCATACATAATCACCCAAAAAAAAGATTTGAATTACAACTTGGGGAGCAGAGGGTTATAAAATGTATCTTCAAATCATAACATTTAGAGATGGAAAGAACCTAGAAGATCACAGTGGTCCAGGCATTTCAGGTTATAGCTGGAATCCTGGGATGTGCCCAGGGCTTTATGAGCGCACAGAGAACCCCTAACCTCTGGAGGCACGGGCAGAGGCCCAGGCCGGGGCTCCCAATAGGAGGCGGTGCCATGTCCTGAAATGACAGACCAGTTTTATTTTGTGCACCAGTGTCAGTCAGTTGGTGCGGGCTGTCAGAATCACTTTGTTGGGACAGATTTGGAGGCTCAGTTTTGCCCCAAGAGGAAAGAATGCCGCCGCCTCTTAGCAATATCTTCAGGGGTTCCACGGGGGAATTGACCGAATGCTACACTTGTTTATCGTCTGTTTTAGAGGATGCCTGTTAGGCAGGATGGTGATAGGAAGGAGACCGTCCCAGGTAGAAGAGCTAGTGTGAGCAAAGGCATGGAGGCAGAGCTTGGTGTGCGAGGCTGGGCCGGAAACAGTGAGCCGGGTGGTGTGGGTCCGAAGACAGAAGGCCCCGGATGCAGGGAATCAGGCTTTAGCTCTCGGGGCAGGGGGGACCGTAGACATTCCTGGAGCCTTGTTCCACACTGAACTGCTGGGGAGCCTTGACTAGAAGCGTGCTGATTGAAAATGTGCTTTAGAAAACGTTCTTCTGCATTCCAGCTACAAGCCCATCGTGGAATATATCGATGCCCAGTTTGAGGCCTACTTACAAGAGGAATTGAAGATCAAGCGGTCTCTCTTCAACTACCACGACACCAGGATCCACGCGTGCCTCTACTTCATCGCCCCTACTGGGCACTCCCTGAAGTCCCTGGACCTGGTCACCATGAAGAAGCTGGACAGTAAGGTACTCGCCGCCCGTCTGCTGCCCCCACTCTCCTGTCAGCTCACCGTTGTTCCAAGGCCCCAATGTATTCTCTGCTTTCAGTGTACATTTTGTTTTTTGTTTTGTTGTAAAACATTTTTTAAAAACAGTTACGGGTTCACAGCAAAATTAAGAGGGAGGTACAGAGATTTCCCACATACCCCCGCTCCCCCCCCCATGCATAGTCTCCCCCATCACCAGCATCCCCCTTCAGAGTGGTACATTTGTTACAATTGATTAACTGTGTCGATAGATCATAATCCCCCAAAGTCCATAGTTGACATTAAACTTCCCTCTTGGTGTACATTCTGTGGGTTTGAACAAATGTGTAATGACATGTATCCATCATTATAGTATCAGGCACAGTAGTTTTATTGCCCTGAAAACCCCCATGCTCTGCCTGTTCGTCCCCCAAACCCATAATTTGTGTTTTCTGGTTTATCGAACCATAGGGTTGAGCAATGTGAGAAAAATGCTTCAAAACTTCTCTGGATGTTAGGAGAAAACAAAAAAAAAGCCATGTAACAGCTTTGTTACAAAGCATTTTTAGTTCTTTTTCTTATTTTTTAAAGAGTTTATTGATTTTTTTTAGAGAGAGAGGGAGAGAAAGAGAAACATCAATGAGAGAGAAACATCCATCAATTGGCTGTCTCCTGCAAGCCCCCTCCTGGGCATTGAGCCTGCAACCTGGGCATGTGTCCTGACCAGGAGTTGAACCAGCAACCTCCCGGTGCACAGGACAACACCCAACCAACTGAGCCACACTGGCCAGGGCTATTTTCAGTTCTTACATTAGCATAGTATATGGTCTGGTGAGTTGGGAAATTCCTTAGTGGAGACAGGGAAATGGTCATAAGAGGGGTTAAATTTAGGGAGATTGAAACATAAACTTATGATTTCTTTATTTCCTTAAAAACTTTCACTAGATCTCTTAAAAGGTTTGGCTTTAATTTGAAGTTTAGAATGAAAAAAGAAGTTGATTTTTTATCTGTGTGGTAACAGTCCATCTTAGATGTTGAAGCTGACTGCGCCCATGAGTTGAAAAGAAGTGAAGTCCTAGTTTCAGTTTGACCCCTGAGCTTTCCACATTGATAACCTCTCTCTCTCACAACATTTGAAGGAAGGAGCTGATCTGCATTTCAGTTCATTTAATTTTCCATTTTGGGATAAATGGAAGGTAATAGATTTCTGAAATAAATCAGCAGCAGATGAGAACAACCACAAAACGAAGCTATGGTATTTTCTCCTTTTGAGTTCAATACAAAGTCTTATCAAACTGAAACTAAGACTATGATAATTTCAGAAAAGATTTGCAAGTCCCTGGGAATGAGGAAAAAGAGACCTTAAGTCTAAATCGCCTGGTTTGTCTATCTACTCTGATCAAACTGGCCTAAAAACAGTGGCCCTCTGCCATTTTGTCTGTGTGGCTATTAACTGAACAGTCAATGTGTACAAAAGATAGCCCGTGTGAGCAGCCAGAGTTTCTGTTCCTTCGGTCCCGATCCCAATGTCCCACCGTTTCTTTCTCCGCCCCTCCTCCCCCAACCCCCATCCCCGTCAGTGACGTGTTTTTGTTTTTAGTCTGCCACTTGCTGGAGGAAGAAGCCCAAGCGTGATGAGATTGGGAGTTGGTTGAGGCACACCCAACCAACATGTCATCTCATTCTGGTTTATCAAGGATTTCTGATTTGGCTCTTGGGATAAAAGGAGAATCAAAGGAATGCAGACGTGACCTGGAAGCCTCTCTAGAGACTCTCCTCTGGCCAGGACGGCTTTCTCACGGAGTCCGTCCCTTTTCACCTGAGCTGGGTGGAGAGCAGGGCCCCAGGTATCGGATGGCAGCAGCATCTTATTGAAGCCTCGGTACCGACCAGGGAGTGGAGGAAAGTTAATCTTAAAAGTGAATTTTTAAGAATGTATGCTGTGGACAGCACTGACTGAAGGTGAAAGATGAATGTCCCACCTCAGGGTCGGGGGCTTGCCCTGCAGGACACCTTGGTGCGGGGCTTTCTGCTGCTGTTGTCAAACTCCCCTGGTCCAGGTAACCGATACCCTGAAAGCGAGCCCGGCCTCGGGCATAGGTCTCCTGGCCTGAAGGAGTTGTGCAATGGAAGCTAACTTTCAAAAGAACTGGCTGGTGTGATTTTGAAAAGTTTAAAAGTAGGTGAAACCGTGTTTGTTTTGGTTAATAGTTAGGTGCTCCCCTCAGGTTATCAGAAGGACAAAAGGATGTTTCCTGCATAGAGCTGAATATTCCACTGTTCTAACTAACAAAAACTCTATTTTATACTGCAAACTACTGCCAGGAACGTGCAAAAATCAAGGTCCTAAGGAGCTGGGAGGGGCCTGAAAGAGTGGCTGGTTACTCAAGGATAGGCGTCTTTGTTATCGCCTGTTCTCATAGAGCAGCGTCCTTTTACTCTGTGCGGAAGCGTGAGGTAGCCCAGGAGAGGAAACGGCAAGTGTGCTTCCAGCTCCGAGGCGAAGAGAAAGCGTTCGCAGGTGGAACTAAAAGATTATCCCATGTCGTCTTAATGTTGCGCCTCCGTCAAAGGTCCTGTTGTCAATATCATTTCTATTCTCCAAGTGAAGTTTATACATTTTCACTTACCTGTTTGCTATTTTTATTCATTTGTCTATTTTTCTCACATTGGAATTGTATCTGTTTTATAGGTGAACATCATCCCAATAATTGCAAAAGCTGACACCATCGCCAAGAACGAATTGCACAAATTCAAGAGTAAGATCATGAGTGAACTGGTCAGCAACGGAGTCCAGATCTATCAGTTTCCCACAGATGAAGAAACGGTGGCAGAGATCAATGCGACCATGAGTGTAAGTCCTCAAGTGAGAAAGGACCAGGCAGTGATGCTCCAGCAGGCTTTTCTTCGCATCAGCATTGCAGTGCGACTAGGGCACTAGACTGGGAACTTGACGTCTTCAGTGTGGCCTAGCTCTGCCACTAGTTCCAGTCATTTAGCCACTGTGCGACTGGTTCTCCCATCTATCAAATGGGAGAGTTAAGCAAGGTGGTCTCACATTTCCTCCCCACTCTAACAGTTACGATTTCTTTTTTTTTAATATATATTTTATTGATTTTTTTTACAGAGAGGAAGGGAGAGAGATAGAGAGTCAGAAACATCGATGAGAGAGAAACATCGATCAGCTGCCTCCTGCACATCTCCTACTGAGGATGTGCCCGCAACCAAGGCACATGCCCTTGACCGGAATCGAACCTGGGACCTTTTCAGTCCGCAGGCCAACGCTCTATCCACCGAGCCAAACCGGTTATGGCAAACAATTACGATTTCTACAGCGGATCTTGAAGGGAGTGCCAGCCCAGCGCCGTTTCACACAGAGCAGCTTAAGGGAAGCAGATCTCTGCTCGCTGTGCCAGGGTAGGCAGAAACATGGCCACCTGCCTCACTTCGCTTCTGAGATTGGTTCCTGCCTCTCCCCCATTTTTTTATTTTTCCCCACCCTTTCCTGAATCATTAGGTAAACCGGCAGTTAAGGGTGTAATTTCCACATCACAGGGAGAAATTGGTCAGGAGATTAGTGATTAAAGCTGCAGCAATCTAGGTGTGCCTGGGAAATCATCTCTCCTGGCGAGCCCCCATCCGGCCGGGATAGCCGCAGCGTCCCCCTGCTCTCTGTGTATCTGAGCCATGGCTCAGCTCTGAGCCACAGTGGCTGTGTGTATCTTTTTTCATCGGGAAATGCGTAACTTCAGTAAAAGCAGCATTCTTGAATTCTTAACGTTGTAGATGACCTTCAGTGAAGTGTAATTAGCAGCTACCGAAGAGCCTGGCCTTACCTGAACGCATGCTAAAATTTGATTTTGATGTGTGCTAGTGGCAGAGGAAGCCAGTCTAATTTTCACATTTGTGGGAGGTTAAAGTATGTCATGAAAAATTGTCTAATCCCATCATTTTTAAATGTTACTAGTGGCACTTTTAAAAATTAACAGGCTTATTGAGATATGATTGATATACTGTACAATTGTTTTTCTAGTATATTCACAGACTTGTGCAGCCAATGCCACAAACAATTTTAGAACATTTTCTGCACCTCAGAAAGAAACCATCTACCTTTTAGCTGTTCATTCTCTAACCATCCCAGCCACAGGCAACCACTGATCCACTTTCTTGTCTCTACATTTGCCAATTCTGGTCATTTTCTAGAATGGGAGTCGTGCTGAGGTCCATCTAGAGCAGTGGTTCTCAACCTTCCTAATGCCGCGACCCTTTAATACAGTTCCTCATGTTGTGGTGACCCCAACCATAAAATTATTTTCATTGCTACTTCATAACTATAATTTTGCTACTGTTATGAATCGTAAATATCTGATATGCAGGATGTATTTTCATTGTTACAAATTGAACATAATTAAAGCATAGAGATTAATCACAAAAACAATATGTAATTATATATGTGTTTTCCGATGGTCTTAGGCGACCCCTGTGAAAGGGTCATTTGACCCCCGAAGGGGTTTCAACCCACAGGTTGAGAACCGCTGATCTAGAGGATTCAATGACTTGGTCAAAGCCAGGCAGTTAGTAGCAGCCCTGAGATTTCAACCCAGACCCCGGCCCCCAGTCCTGTGTTACGTTTGGCCTCATTCTTTGGGAGATCAGGTTACTCCACAGACTGCCTCTTGTTTCTTCGGTCGGCATGCGGACTTTTCTGTAGAGGGCTGTTTCATTTAGGGAAGATTTCTTCCTTAAAGTAATCCCACTATGACTAGGACTTTGGAAGCAAATGTACCTTTCTTCCTCTCTGGGGCTCTTACTGTATGAATTTAAAATTTAGGGATCTCATCAACACAGAGCTCCACGCTGCCCTGTTCTGGCCACACTCAGAGTTGTCGCCCTGGCTGTCGTCCTCCTGTGGCCAGGACAGTAAGGGGCTGGAAGAGCCTGGAGTGCAGATCCTTCCTGGGAAACAGGCCCAGGGGGTGTGAAAGGAAGGTCGCCATTGGGAGAATGACTGGACTCATTCAAAAGACAGAACCAAAACTGATGGGCAAAGAGCAGAGAGGGGTTTGGGCCCATGTGGAGTTTGACTGTTGGCACCACCGCAACACAGCCAACACCTGATCGAAGTGGCGAGTTCCCCTCACGAGTGGTGGGTGAACGACAAATTCCGCTTCAACTCACGGAGAGGAGAAAACTTGGAGGGATTCCTGTACCAGGTCAAACTGGACAATATGTAAGGTCTCTTCTGCATGTAAAGTTGTATTGAGAACTTCATGGTATTAGTAGCACCTGACATTTTTGACATTTAGGGAGCATTTGCTATGTACCAGGTACTGTTCGAGCCTTTCCATTTCATCTTTACAACAGTCCCCTGGGAAGTACTGCTATTTCTACTTCACATGCTGAAGACGGCAACCATGCACACAGGGTTGCACAGCCGTCTGTGGCGGAGGCAGGGGCTTCGCTCTGGAGCCGACACCCTCGCCCTTTATGATACCCACCACCAAGCAGAGCAGTGTGCTGTTCATGCCGTTGTCTAGGACTCGGGTTGTGATGCCACCTGTGTGTTCCTCGTGGAACTGCGATTTGGGTGTCCGTGTGGGATTCAGGAAGGAACATCTAATTCTCTCTGTCTGTCCCTCTCCATTCTTTCCAGTCGTCTTGCACGGTCAGGAAACTAAATTTGTGTTAACTTCCTTGGAAAGGAAACACCCATGAACCTTCCACTCTCTTTCTCCCTTTACCAGGTGAATAGCCATTCCCAAGTTCATCTTGCTCTTTAGCAGACATTTTCCTTTCGGTCTTCATTGCCAACCACCCCTGGTGATGAAATGCCGTGTGAAATGTGGAAGGGGCTCCCTTGGCAGGTGCCCGGTCACTCCGCTTGAGTAGAAGAAGCATTTCCTTGGTCGTTAACACCAATGTGGCCAGAAGGGGCCTGGTGCTCCTGAGCTTCGGGGAGCACATTTGAGTTCCAGACTTGGAGTCTGAGAAAGACGTGCTCTCCTCCTTCCTGTGCAGGGTGAGACAGACGGGAGAGTGTAACTCTCTTGAGCAGCAGAAAACAAACACCACTTGGGCAGCCTGGGTGGAGGGTTCTCTGTGGGAGAGGACTTGGCTTTAAAACATTCCTCCTTGCTCGACTTATCTGCAGTGGAAGGACCCTGAGTCAGGGAACCCTCCATCATAATTCTCAGGGCAGCCATTTCAAATGTTCTTATTCTTATATGCTAATAGAAAAGAGAATTTCTGTCCACCCCCCTACCCCCCCTCCCAAACCACCAATGCAGCCGTAGCTTCCAAATAAACCACGTGGAGCAGTCGGTTGTCTTGACCACCAACTGCTTGAGGTAAGTCCGGGTGCAAGGCCTGAGCCAGTAGTTGGGGCTACGCTGTGTTTCTGGCTTGAATTTTGTGCAGCAGTCAGCTACCTGAAGCAATGCTGTGGAACAGAAATATGAGCCACACGAGTAATTTAACCCTTTCTAGTAGCCACATTAAAAAAAAGTGAAAAGAAACATGAAATTAATTTTATAACTTATTTAACCCAATATACCCAACATATTCATTACAACATGTAATAAATATAAAGATTATTAATGAGGTTTTTTTCAAAGTCTGAAATGTGTATGTTACATTCATAAAACATTACAACTTGATGTGCACCTGTTACTCCTAACATACTTAAAAGTTTTTTGTTTTTGTTTTTAATATATTTCTTTATTGATTTCAGAGAGGAAGGAAGAGGGAGAGAGAGATAGAAACATCAATGATAAGAGAGAATCACCGATCGGCTGCCTCCTGCATGCCCCCCACTGGGGACCGAGCCCGCAACCCGGGCATGTGCCCTTGGCCGGAACAGAACTGGGGACCCCTCATTTCTCAGGCGGACGCTCTATCCACTGAGCCAAACCGGCGAGGGCAAAAGTTTTTTAAATATAAAATAGATACCCAAAAGATCATTTTTCTTTAACACTTGCATCCACATTGACAAAACTGGTTCTTCTCTTTGTAGAAGATTTGAGTTTGCAGCAAAGTGAAATTCCGTTTCTTGATTCCACGAGCCCCATTTCAAATGTCCAAGGGCCACATAGATGAGCAGCTACTGTATCGGACAGCTTGCATCTAAAGCTTACTGTATAGCTGCAAAGACCCATACAGGGTTCCCCTGGATCTAGCTCAGATCAAATATTCAGAATGGGTGTGGACAGGTAGGATGCACACCCACTCACACACACACACACACACACACACACACACACGCATGTGTGCACGTGACTGCAGCGTTTCCCTCTTCTACCTCCCGGCTTCTGCCACTGAGCAGGGGCCTGAAGCAGCAGGGAGAGTATAGAGGCAGGTGGAAAACCAGCCTTATCCAGAGCTGGGAGGGTAACTGCAGCAGGTCCTTGAAGAACGGCACTTTGTTCACTATCCTTTCGTTATAAGTTTGATGAGTGAAGGAAAAACTGTCTCCTGAACAGGCCCAGTCTCTGTGGAGTTGTCATGTTCTCCCCACATCTGCGTGGTTTTCTCTGGATACTCCGGTTTCCCCCACATCCCAGGGGTGTGGGTGTTGGGTGAACCACGTGTATCTAATTGTCCCGATCCGAGTGTGGGTGCGAGTGCGCCCTGTGGTGGAAGGGTGGGCGTCATGTCCAGGGAGGGTCCCCCCTGGTGCTCTGAGCTTCCGGGAGAGGCCCTGGCCACCCTGGACCATGAACTGGAATCAGCAGGTTGGGAAATAATGATCTTACTTGTTTTTATTAATCTTTCTTCACTGTGTGTGTAGCTCACATGCATTTCCACATGTAGAAGTATTTGGGTCTTTATAACTTCAGTGATGTTTTTGTGACCAGAAATAAGCCATAGGAACTTAACTCTTATTGATGTCAATTAAACTCGAGTAAAACGATCTCATCTTATGGTCGTTTCACTTAAAGTTGCAGTTGCTAAGAACTTGTTGACGACGTTCAGTGAGGACTCATTGTACTCTCCATCCTTGTGTTGTTGGCAGGTCCACCTGCCATTTGCCGTGGTCGGCAGCACTGAAGAGGTGAAGATCGGCAACAAGATGGCCAAGGCCAGGCAGTACCCGTGGGGCGTGGTGCAGGGTATGTGTGCGGCAGGAAAGGGATTCTTCACGTTCAACCCCTGTGGTGACTGACCACGTTTCTCCCTCCCCACCGTGTTTGAGGAGCTCCTTAATCGTGGGCAGGTGGAAGGGAGTGGCAGGGTTGTACACCTGGCAGTCGTGGAGGTGAGAAAGAAACAGCGACCAGGTAGGACGATGGTGACAGTGGAGAGAAGAGGCTGCAAAGCCCTAGTGCCAATGAGGCAGCCCCAAAAAAATGGCTTGTAGGAAATTCAGTATAAATTCCTGTTAGGAGAGTTCTTCCCTAAGAGTCTGAACCATTTTCATCACTAAAGCATAAGAAAGCTGCAAAGAGTTTCTTGCAAACAAGAGAATGCTTATCTTTCCATACTTGTTCATCTCTGGGAACATTATCCTCCAATTAAATGTTATTTCAGGCCCAGCCGCCATGGCTCAGTGGTTGAGTGTCGACTATGAACCTAGAGGTCATGATTCGAGTCCCTGTCAGAGCTCGATCCCCCGTGTGGGGTGTGGAGGAGGCAGCTGATCAGTGATTCTGTCTCATCATCGATGTTTCTATTTCTCTCTCCCTCCCCTTCCTCTCTGAAATCAATAACATTTATTTTGAAAAATAACAAATGTGATTTCAGTAAATATCTGAGAATTAAGAGAATGTCTGACCTATATTGGTGCTGGGAGACATGACCACAGTCTCTAACCTGAAGAAGCTTCCCAGACGCCAGCTTGATGGGCAAAGACTCTGTCACCTACCCTTGCTGTGTGTTCTGAGCAGGGTGTCCAACGCTGTAGATTAGCACGATGGCTCCAGAAAGGTCCTTCGTTGGTTTGAGATCTGTGAGTCCTATGTTTCCTTTGTTCAGAATAAAGGCAATAAGTCTGTGAAAAGAAACAATGCCTTTGAGATCCTAGGAAAATTAAAGTTTTTATGAATCTTACTAATTTCTCTACCATGAAAAAATTTTCTTCATAGTGTTGTTGGTAAATTAAAGGAGGTGGTATATTAAAAAATCCTTGTGCAGCTCCAGACAGCATTGAGAAATAGACTTGTCTTTTTCTTTTATTATTTACTAGAGGCCCAGTGCACGAATTCATGCACAGGTGGGGTCCCTCGGCCTGGCGGGCAATTGGGGCCATATCACCTAGTCCAGTGGTCGGCAAACTCATTAGTCAACAGAGCCAAATATCAACAGTACAATGATTGAAATTTCTTTTGAGAGCCAAATTTTTTAAACTTAAATTATATAGGTAGGTGCATTGTTATTAACTTAATTAGGGTACTCCTAAGGCTTAGGAAGAGCCACACTCAAGGGGCTAAAGAGCCGCACGTGGCTCGAGAGCCGCAGTTTGCCGACCACGGGCCTAGTCCCATTTGGGGCCAGCCGGCTGGGGAGAGGGACCGCGGGAGGTTGGCTGTGGGAGCGCACTGACCACCAGGGGGCAGCTCCTGCATTGAGCGTCTGCCCCCTGGTGGTCAGTGCGCATCATAGCGACCGGTCGTTCAGTCACTTAGGCTTTTATATATATAGATTTTTTATTGATTTCAGAGAGGAAGGGAAAGAGAGATAGAAATGTCAATGATGATAGAGAATCATTAATCTGTTGCCTCTTGCACACCCTCTGCTGGGGTTTGAGCCCACAACCCAGGCATGTGCCCTGACCGGCAATCTAACCATGACCTCCTGGTTCATATGTGGATGCTCAACCATTGAGTCACACCTGCCAGGCTAGGCCTGTCTTTGACGCCAGACATCATGGTGTTTGAACATAGACTCTGCTTCCTCTGTGTGAGGTAATTCATGCTTCTGTGTCTACAAAGCAGGAGTCATTATGAAGAGTAAAGACAGTATTTGTCTGTCTCCTCCCACAGTGCCCTGCACTGGGCAGGCACTCGGCAGTCACTCCTGTCGTCAATATTCTGGTCAAAGTCAGAAACGTTGTCTTCATTGGCGAAGTGAGGTGGATCCAGTAGAGGATCTCCCGGTGGCTTTGAGAGATTTCAGGAGCAGTGGTGACAATATCTTGGAAACATCCCCCCTGATTTTCAGTGACTGACAGCAGCCCCGCCCTCCGCTTCCCCTCCCCCATCTCTTGCAGTGGAGAATGAAAACCATTGTGATTTTGTGAAACTGCGGGAGATGCTGATCCGCGTGAACATGGAAGACTTGAGAGAACAGACTCACACCCGCCACTACGAGTTGTATCGGCGTTGTAAGCTCGAGGAGATGGGGTTCAAGGACACTGACCCTGACAGCAAGCCCTTCAGGTATGCGGCCACCTGGCAGTCAGGTGTTCCAGGACAGTGGGAAGGTGGAGTGTTGTGAGTCGCAGAAGTGCTTGTTGGGTTGAACTATCGGAGGAAAGCACCTGGGAGGGCAGGTGACCTCATGTTGCCAGGCACTGTGGCAACCACTCTATCTGGATTGTCTACCATCGGTGTCGTTGATGTCATTGTCATCACCCTCATTTTACAGAGGAGGAAACTAAGGCGCTGAAGTGTAAACAACCAGCCGAGGTCCTACAAGTAGGATGTGACGGGGGCAGGGGGGGAGGTTTTGAACCCGTGCCCTTAATCGTTACACTCACAGAGGCACAGAGCCTGGCCTAGGCATTTACAAAGGCGCAGCTGCGCCCGGCAGTTTGCCTCATTCATTTTTGCCAGATCGGTTTGACTTCCCAAGGCTTGCTCTTTCAGAAGTCTCTGTTAGCTTCCAGTGGTTTGATGCAATTCTGACAACAAATGAGTAGGAAAGGGGATAACACAAAAAATTGCTTACAGTCCACATCTTTGATGGATAGAGATGAAGAGGCAAAATGTGAAGGGGAAAATGTGGAAATTAATGCATAATTAATGGCTTAGCAAAGGTCCACGCCTTGTCAGAGCCACGTGTGGGAAGGGGCCTCCGGGGAGCGTGCCGGGCCTGGTGAAGTGTCAGTGGAAGTGGGGGCTGCCACGCCAGGATCACAGGAAAGGATTGCTCTGTCCAAACCGAGCCCTCGCAATTTCTTCATGTAGATGTGCAGTGTTTCTGGGCTCGGTGTCTCTACCGACGGGGGAGGAGGGGGGTGTGGTACGGGTCCTCAGAAAAGACTATCTTCCTCCTCTTTTGTGGCCACTATAACTCATACTCATACCTGGGAGCAGGCGGGCCATAGTGCCTGAGGCAGCCTGTGTGCGGGTGGCAGGCTCCAGGCCCCCAGATCTGAGCTGCCCTGGGTGGTAGGGGTTTTGGGATCTGCTATAGAGGTAGTTTGGGAAAGTCTGGGCTGGTCTCCTGGTACAGTGCTACTGTGGTGCTGTGAGGTGTGTGAGAACATTGATAAGAACAAATGGAGACCCCAACCAAAGGCTTCTAACCAGGAAGTTAACCTCTGACCCAGGGTGCATCATTTAGTCCCATCCTGGGGGCTTGTAAAACTGGTCTTCTTCAACCACAGGTCACTTTCCGAGTCAAGATGGAGAATGCCTTTCTGTGAAAAGTTTCGCTAAGCCTTGAAATGCGTTGACCAAAACGTAGTCCCTACCAAATCAGGCCTACTCTGTGGGTTTTAAACCGGATGAAATGGTTTTTGTGTTGTTGTTGTTTTGTTTGTTGTTGTTTTTATGAATAGCGATAGAACAAAAAGATTTCACTGAAATCTAACTCATTTGGCCCCCTCCTTCATTCAGACCCAGGCAGAGCTGGTGAGCTAGGGCAGAGTCAGTAGTCTGGGTTCAAGTCCTGGCCCTGCTACCACTCAATTCCTCAACCTCTCTGGGCCTCAGTTTCCTCAATTGTAAAGCGAGGAGTGGGGCTAGATCAGGAGGCAGACTTAGTAAAAGGGCTTTTTGTATAATGGGCCAGGTAGTCACCCAACCTGAGCTTCATGCCATGGTCCCCTTCCCCACTTCTGGCTGTTGTTTGGGGTAGAGGGCACTCAATCAACTTAAACAGGTTTCTTTTTGTTTTATACTGAAGGACTTTTCAGAGCCTTTAAGATAAGCAGTGGATGGCAAACTGGTTACATCAGATTACTTGGGAAGCATTGAAATACTACAGGTTCTTTTGCCTTAGCCCGGCATCTCAAGTCAGCATCTCTGGGGGTGGAGTTAGGAAACTGTTTAGAAAAGTCCCGCGAAACTCGAGTAGGCAGTGCTGATGTGCCATGGGGTTGGGAGCCGCTGTGCACTGTGACCCTCCTAAAGGGAGGTCACACACAGCATTTTCCCTTTACTCTTGACTTGGGAACCCCTCTGTTTGAGATCTCTTGAACTAGTGATCGCTGGAACACTTTGAGTAGTGTTTCTTTTTTAAAATATGTTTTTATTGATTTCAGAGAGGAAGGGATAGGGAGAGAGAGAAACCTCAATGATGAGAGAGAATCATTGGTTGGTTGCCTCCTGCACGCCCCCTACTGGGGATTGAGCCCACAACTGGGGCGTGTGCCCTGACCGAGAATTGAACTGTGACCTTCTGGTTCATGGGTCAACGCCCAACCACTGAGCCACGCTGGCTGGGCTGGGTAGTGCTTCTTCATAGCGTTTCTATAAACTGTGTCCCATTGCTTGTGAGAAAGAGGAGGGACTGTATTCACTATCCTGAAATCATCAAAAGCTGAGTTTCCCCCCAAATCTTTTTCCTTTGGCAATTCTGATCCAAATAATGGTGATGAGGCTTATTGGAAATGAACAAAATCAAATTCATGAATTACTTTGTTGTTCTATTATCAACACATTTCTATGTCTCTATGGCTTACATCAGGGGTCCTCAAACTACGGCCCGCGGGCCACATGCAAATACAAATATTGTATTTGTTCCCGTTTTGTTTTTTTTACTTCAAAATAAGATATGTGCAGTGTGCATAGGAATTTGTTCATAGTTTTTTCTTAAACTATAGTCCAGCCCTCCAATGGTCTGAGGGACAGTGAACTGGCCCCCTGTTTAAAAAGTTTGAGGACCTCTGGCTTACATTTTCAAGTCCAAATATCACTATTAATATTAGCCAACATTAGCATTGGCCAAATTTGCTTTAGTCTCATAAGATAATGTGAAAGCTAACTATACCTCTGGAATCTCAAACACAGGATTGCTCATTAACAGGGAGTGTTGATTCTCTTGAGGGCAGGGGAACTTACTTTAATCAACCAATAAAAGCATGTATTGTAGAAGTAGAAACAATCCTCATTAAGACATTTTCTAATTGTTTAGTCCTTTGTATATCTACATGGGTGTGTACTCGCACCACCTGGGTGTCTCTTTGCTCCTTCTACATGACAAGTGTGCATGCTGGGGTGCTCTGCATGGAGCCTGGGGTCACCCACGGGTGCTAGCCAGTTTGGAGTCAGCACGTTGGATGAATGTGGCCCACAGGTTAAGGTGGATAATCCTGCAGGCCCGTGTTACTGTGACAACTCTTGTTCCCAGGAAACTAGAAGGGAGAATTAGCAATAGCACCTTATAAAATGCCAGCAAATGCTTCTCTGTTTGTATGGGTGTGGGTGTGGGATTTCTTAAGCTGTGTTACTGAAGGTAATATTTCCATAAATATATTTGTTCTGACTTAAAGAAAGCTGAGGCATAGCATTTGATTTAAAATATTGGGCTCTATGGCCTGCAGGATTATCAGGGGGAGGATGGGGTTTAAAATAAAAATAAGACTCCTCCCTGCTCTATTATGATTGGTAATACAACTTTAAAAGTAGCAATTTTGTGAAATACCTTTAGGTACCCTATTGGCTCTTTAGATGGTTCGCTGAGTCTGTTTTCTAAACTGGGGACAGGACGGAAATGAGTGGGGGAGGGTAATATTTGTTAAGCACTGAGTGCTTTGCTCACTTTGCCGCCATTCATTCCCAGAATCATTTCCCTGGAAGGTAAGTCCTGCTGTGTCCACCCACCTCTTATACATTGAGGCTTAGAGGCTGTGCCCTTGCCTAGATTAGTCAGTACCTCGCTATGGCCAGAATCCAAGCCTTGATCTGTCTGGCCCTAGTACCCATGCATTTCTCTCCCTACACACACCACCTCTCTCTCCTAAAAGTCTTCATCATATCTTCGGGGTCTACCTGGTGTGCTGATCTGGCAGATACCGCCCAGCCCAGCCCAGCCCAGGCTTTCTGCGTGTGACTATGTGGGATAAGCCTTGGCCAGCAGGAGACAGCCCGTTAGTGCTGCCCGGTGCTTACGGACTCATCCTTGTTCTTGATGCACTTGTCTTTCTGGTCACCGCAGAACTAAAGAGGAGATGGTGCCCTTTTCTGTGTCTTTGACATGGTAAATGGCAGCCTTATCTAAGTTTTGGAAGACGGTGGGTAGAAATTCTATGAACTGAAGTTTCTTATGCAATTTTATGACACTGTCCTTGTTTGTGACTTTTGAATAGTCTTCAGGAGACATACGAAGCAAAAAGGAATGAATTTCTGGGAGAACTTCAGAAGAAAGAAGAAGAAATGAGACAGATGTTTGTTATGAGAGTGAAGGAGAAAGAAGCTGAACTTAAAGAGGCAGAGAAAGAGGTAAGCCATCTACCTGTCCTTTTTCAAGGGAGAGAAATAAGCAAGGTATTTTATTAACACTTCACATTTTATGGGACTTCATGCTGTTCTAAGTGCCTTCTACAAACATTTTATCACTTGCATGGCATACTGTCCTGGCAAGAAAAGCAGGTCAGATATTCTCATCCCCATTTTACAGATGATAAAACTGAGTTATACAGGTTAAGCAATTTATGCAGTCATATACCTAGTTAATAGCAACGCTGAAACTAAAACTCAATCGTAGGTCTCCAGACCTGGTCCCATTTTCTTTGTACCTCTGTATTTCCTCAGTATACACGTCTTGAAATATGAGATTTGAGATTCTGTGGTTATTGTTATTTTCATAGTCTATCAGCCTATTCAGTTCGCTGAACAGTGGATGGCCCTTCGGCACTGATAGGTGATGGTCTCTGTATACCTAGTATGTCAAACGCGAGGCTTGCAGCCCGCCGGCTGTGAGTTTGACATGCTTTCCACTGTACATCTGCTCACACTTCCCTCTTTGTGGTCATGCACGCTCTACTCCAGCATCCCTTTGACTTGCCTTATTCCCCATGACCAGGCCAAATTAACTGCTTCCTAGAGGTTCCCATGGATTTCTGCTATAACACTCATCCCAGAGAGAGAGGAGAGAGGGAGAGAGGGAGAGAGAGAGTGGTCACTCATCCTATTGAGAGAGAGAAAGAGACAGAAATATGTTTGCCCCCAATGATAGATCATGAGTATCTCGAGCGCAATACATTTACAAATAAAACTGCTTAATTTTTTTAAAATATATTTTATTGATTTTTTACATAGAGGAGGGGAGAGGGATAGAGAGTTAGAAACATCGATGAGAGAGAAACATCGATCAGCTGCCTCTTGCACACCCCCTACTGGGGATGTGCCCGCAACCAAGGTACATGCCCTTGACGGGAATCAAACCCGGGACCCTTGAGTCCGCAGGCTGATGCTCTATCCGCTGAGCCAAACCGGTTAGGGCTAAAACTGCTTAATTAATTTCCTCACCATCCCCTCTTAATTGATCCTGATAAAGACAACTGAAACTTAGAGCTCTAGCTGGTTTGGCTCAGTGGATAGAGTGTCAGCCTGCAGACTGGAGGATCCCAGGTTTGATCCCAGTCAAGGGCACATGCCCAGGTTGTGGGCTCGATCCCCAGTAGGGGGTGTGCAGGAGGCAGCCAATCAATGATTCTCTCTCATCATTGATGTTTCTATCTCTCTCTTCCTCTGAAATCAATAAAAATATATTTTAAGAAAAGACAATTGAAACTTAGAGATTAAGAACTACTCTTACCACTAGGGTGAGTTTCTTATTAGGAGCATGGATATGCTTTTTACAATGAATACGTATTTTATTATCAGAAAACTAGAGGCCTGGTGCACGAAATGCATGCACTGGGGGAGGGGTGTCCCTCAGCCAGGCCTGCGGCCTCTCACAGTCCAGGGCCCCTCAAGGGATGTCTGACTGCTGCTTAAGCCGGCAGTTGGACAACCCTCTCGCAGTCCGGGACCCCTTGCTCCTTATTGCCCGCCTGCTCGCTGCTCCTTAGCGCTGCCATGGAGGCGGGAGAGGTTCCCACCACTGCCACTGCGCTCGCCAACCGTGAGCCCGGCTTGTGGCTGAGCGGTGCTCGCCTGTGGGTCTGTGGGAGCACACTGACCACCAGGGGGCAGCTCCTGCATTGAGCATCTACCCCCTGGTGGTCAGTGCACATTATAGCAACCGGTCATTTTGTTCGTTCTGCCGTAACAGTCACTTAGGCTTTTATTATATACAAGTGTGCAAGGGTCCCCTTTAGCTCCACAGGTCCAAGTGTCAAAGGAGAACAGGGCTCCCCAAGGTGCTTTCCTGTCTCTGCATGGCTCTTCCCAGAGCACCGGCCGCTGCTGCGCTTCTCCAATTAGAGCACAGGCAGCACCGTGGCGCAGGCCTTGTTCTGAGCAGGTCCGAGTCACCTCATACCGGTCCCCTTGCTACCCCCTTCACCACGCCTGTCCTGTCCTCTCCAGCTCCACGAGAAGTTTGACCTCCTGAAGCGGACACACCAGGAAGAGAAGAAGAAAGTGGAAGACAAGAAGAAGGAGCTGGAGGAGGAGGTGAACAACTTCCAGAAGAAGAAGGCGGCTGCCCAGTTGCTGCAGACCCAGGCCCAGCAGTCTGGGGCCCAGCAAACCAAGAAAGACAAGGATAAGAAAAAGTAAGCAGGTGTCCCCCCGGTGCCGGGGCCTCTAACAGTTTATTCCTCTTGCATGTCTCTACTTCTCCCATTTCCAGACTGGAAACTGGTCTATTACCAGGAAGATCCAAGCAAGTATTTTCTCTACAGTGCAGGGAAGAAGATACAGGTTCTTAAAGTATTTCTAAAGGGTGCACAACATTACTTTATGAGGCTTGACCACATGACCCAGCAGTCAGGACTGGGCTCACTTTTGTCTCCAGTCTCGTCTTCTGCACCAACACTAGGACTTTGGGGAAGACGGTTTATTTCTCTCACGACCCTTTGGAGACGGTCCTCGTGACTCCCGATAAAGAGCATCCTAAAGTTACAATTGTCACAGTTATTTTTGTAGTCTGCGTTGTTAGGCTTGATAAGCCAGTCATTGATCTCCAGATGAAAGATTTAGAAGAACTGCTAGTGGCCACTAGTTTCCTCTAAATTCAACAAGATGGTTAGTTGTTTTCTTGGGAAAATGGGGTCACAATTCCATCCAGTTAAGCCCACCTGCAACAATCCTCAAGACACGCCTGTACCCACGCACAGAGCAACATTTTTAAACATGGCTGTGGTTTAATGAGCCAAAGGTCAGAGCCTGCTCTCGTGTCGGTCACTTCCTGTGATGCTCCAGTGGCAGCTCCCAAATCCACCGGAGCTCTGGGCCTTCCTTGTCATTCTCCGGTGATTTGAAGCTCATGTCAAATCCCTTAGAGACTAGACAGTGCAGTTTAAGGCATTGGCTCCCGGTTTGGCAGGAGGCTCAGGGTCAGTGAGATGCCTGGACAAGCTGTGTGTGGCCGGATGGCCACCCGGGGACGCTGCCCTGCTTGGTGCGGGCAGTGCTCTCAGGGCAGCAGTAGGACAGCTCGGAATGTGCTTGGGATTCCTGCTCTCCATCCCGAGACGCTAACGTTCTAGGGGAAAAGCTGACACGTAAACCATAAAAATGGTGGCACTTGAGCAGGCAGAGACCCTTTTTTTAAATATAGAAGATAAGATTGAGTCTGCACAGGAATTGAGACCTGCCATAGGGACTGGTCACTGTGTCTTGGTGAACAGACGCCCCTTGAGGAATCGTGTCACGAACCCCGTGGTAGAAATCAAACGGAGAGAGTTTTACATTGTGCTCTGCAAACTGGACCAGCTCGGAGGCAGCAGAGAGTGCGTCGGGAGAGCAAAGGGCAGGCACGTTTTCTAAGCAGTAGAGAGGCGTCCGTGTGGAGGAGGTGTGGTTTTAATGGGGTTGGTACAGACCCAAGTGATGAAAGGACTCCAAGGGCCGAAAACAGTTCTGCTAGGTGAGTTCTGGCTAACGATTGCCTCGATCATAATCTAGTGCAGGAAAGCGCTTTGTAGCTACACACACCGCAGAGCGTCGGCCCCTGGCGGTGACATTCCCTGTGCAGAGCCAGTCCAGCAGCTGCTGCAGTGCAGAGAAACGGAAAGCCATTTGACATCAGACCTTTGTGGATCCAAACTCACCCCAGACAGAAATAGGTATAGGGGTGTGTGTGTGTGTGTGTGTGTGTGTGTGTGTGTCTACATCTATAGGCATGAATGAGACAGAAAAGCTGCTGACTCACAGCTTAGGAAACCCAAAGTTAAGTCTTTCTTACCCTGAAGCACTAATGTATGTAAAGGAATATATTTTAGAACTAAAAATGTTTATAAAAGACCAGCAATGTTCTAAGGATATTTCACATATACTGGATGTGCCTTTAAGCAATAAAAATTCCAAGAGCTGATCGGTATTGTGCCTCCATTAAAAAAAAAGATCTATCTAGTAACAGACTTCCCAGCGTAGGGAGGTTTTTCCTGTTGAGCATTTCAGGTTATTTTCTTCCCATCCTTGGACCTCAGCGATGTCTAATGCTCTCAAGTCATGTGAAGTATGTGTGAATTCTACGTTAGCCTTATTTATATATTCTCATTTATTATTCGTGGAATTAGGCTTAATTTGGTGCGCAGGTTTTGTGCCTGCCGATGGCATGTATTTTTCGGTAACTTCTAGGTCCCCACCCTTTTCCACACTTTACCATTTGAGCAGTGAAATCCACTGCCAGTTGGAGTCCTGAAGTGTAAAATTAAACAAAACAAAAACAAAAGAAGCACCACTCCTCTGACTGCCAGTGGAGAGTTTTGGGGAGAGAGGACCACAGAGAGACAGTAGCCAGGGTCCCCAGAGCAGCACTGACGTGAATGGAAGGCTCTCTTCCACGTGCAGCCGCGGGAGATGCTGGAGTCACTGTGCAGCCACGGGGAGCTGGCCTTGTTCTAGGGAGAGGACAACAAAGAGATGCTTATTTATTCACCTGCTATGTTCCCGCCTCAGAGCCTGACTCAGTGTTTCTAATAGTTCTAAATTCTGTTTCTTTCTATTTTAATGACATGCTCCCTTTCTAACGTAGGTAAGGCTTTATCCTTCTCCTTGACCTGTAGTGGCATGAGATCATATAACATTTCCTAAGATTACAGACACAGTAGAACTAACCCTGGCACTGCCATTAGCTGGACCCCACCTCCTGCCATCTCTGGCCACCAAGTCACTTTCCTTGTTTGCGGCTACACCGCACTGGTGGGACTGCCGGACGGTAAGTTGTTCAGTGGACAGTGTTCATCTTTTCTGAGAAGTGTGCACAGCTGCCAGCAGCCATTTGCTGGTTACGATACATTCATCCCAAAAGAAAGTTTTAAAATTCATCATTTTAAAACTGTACCTGGCTGGCATCTGATAACGATAGTTTATACAATCATCCACTCACTTTTTATTTATTTTGTATTGATTCTTGCTAAGGAATGAAGTTGCATGATTTGGACTTGCCTACAGTTAGACATGTGGATCTGGGATCTGGCACTGCCTTGAACCTAAAAGAGGGGAAGGCTCCTGGCATTGCTGTAGCCGTAACCACGTAATGGTTGTCCTTTTTCATTTCCTTCCCAAGTGGATTAATAGCATGTCCTCCACCCACTGTATTGCAAGCCCCAAGTTAATTATTCAAAGTCATTTGTAGCAGATTTATTCTCTTACTCCAGGAGCTCAGAAATGGAAGCTGCATCTCCTATTTAGTACAGATGTGATGCCCAAATCGAACACCATCGATAATGGTTTTGTGTTATTGGATAAAATGAAAATCAAACAGTAAACCCTTCCATTAGGACATGTAGTGGTTTCACAGAGCCACCTGAGAATTCTAAATTACATGCAAATGGAAACTAACCACGTGTTCTGTAATTCAGTATTAAAACGTTGCTTTTGCTTGTCATGTGGAATAGCTTACTCAGATTTTTGGTTTCGATTTCTGTCAGTTCCATAATCATTGCATGAGCATTCACCATCACCGAATGCCGGTGCTGGCGCTCCTAATGTCCCTTTATTTTTTTGTTATTATTTCTAACTTTTTTGTTTTGTTTTTTAACTTGCAGTGCAAGCTTCACATAAAGCCTGGCAAGCCAAGGATGGTCCCGCATTCACCTGCTTTTGCAGTAATATTGTATCGCTGCCATCTGTGTCCTTTTTTTTTTTTTTTTTTTTTACCTTTCCCCAGATACCAATAACTCTTAACTCATTTTGCTGAATGTTGTTGGGTGCTGGAAAGTGATAGAACAAGGGAATGACAGCCAAAGCTCTGTGCAGCTGGACGTGGCCTCTGGAAGTAAATGAGTTGCCTTTCATGCCTGTTCTGAGTGGCGGCAGGAAGCATGCCTGCTGCTTGTGTGTTGCTTTGGACGGAGGGAAGGAGGGTAAATGGCTACACGTTCGTCTGCCAGGAAAACTCGCCGCCTCAGCAGCTGAACCATAAACCTGAATATCCATGACAACTTACTGTTCTTAATTATCCACGATGGCAAAGGCCCTGAATTCACGCTCTGCCTCTTCTCCACACCCACCCCAAACCCAAGATAGCTTTGACGTAGGCAGGCCGGTGGGGAAGCTGTATATGACTTTTAAACTTGCATGGATTGCTCATTGTTAGAATAACATTATTTGGTCTGGGTTGTGGGTCTGTTCAGACCGACTGTCTCTGCTGATGGCTTTAAAAATGTGTCTGAAGCCCTATCTCTCAAATTCTGGCCGAGCTGAACTGTAAGCGGATCAAGGCTACACTGATAAAAGTGAACATAATCATAGTTTCATAATCAGCAACCTCAAAAGTGGGATAAAGCAACATTGCTTAGCAGAAGCTACTAAGGGTGATAGAATTAGCAGTCTTTCATAAACACCGAAATCTGCTCTCAGTGGGCTGAGAGGAGGCCTAACACCTGATGCCAGGGATTCGGTACCTCCAATAACATTTTTCAATAATCATGAGAAGAAAATTTTCAGAAATCCTTCAAATAAAAAATGTGTTGTAAATTGTGTATCATCTGGAGCACAAATTTGAGGGTGACTTGTCAATTTCAGGTAGAAATGGGAAGGAACATAACACAAACCCACAAGTCAAAGAAAGTAGAAATTCAACTTCACCTCCAACCTCCTTGCATAGGGTCCTTTTGCTATTTGGCAATAAAGGGAAGAAAAAATATTACAGCTGGTCTTTCAAATCCAGTTGTCTTGAAGGAATTTCCTCACCTTTCCTTTCACAATTAGCTCACCTCCCTCTTTATGCCAATCAATGAAGGTTAGGACTAACCCATATGCCATGACATAGGCTACCCCCCAT